GATGATGATGATGATGATGATGATGATGATGATGATGATGATGATGATGATGATGATGATGATGATGATGATGATGATGATGATGATGATGATGACAAACATCAGTATTTGAAAGAGAAGCAGACATAAAAAGGATGAAAAAGGTCATAGGTGGAGCAACGGCAACACAAACTGTGGAGGGGATGTGGGAGTGGTTGGGTGGGGTGTTATGAAGAAAGGATAGGAGGAGGCTAGAACTAACAACTACGTGACAGTGGTGAAGGCTGCGTGAATACATAACATAATCAGCGGAAAGTAAACTCGTCAAATGACGGATTGTTGGTCGAACGTGTTAGTTTTCTCTCCCAGTTTTCTTTGATTATTTGCTCTTGATTTTTAAAACGGGACGATGATCAGAATCTGTGTGGCATTCGAAATCGTTTGCTAAAATCTTCACTTGTGTAACAGAAGAGACAGATGACGTCATCGTTCATTTTGTGTCAACTCTACGTGACGGAAAATGTTTGCCCTGTGGTTCACTTCGATAGGACATTGTGTCCTTGGGAAAGACACTTTACCTAAATTTACGATTGGGCGCGGTCCTTCGGAGATGAACGTTACACTCGGAAGCCCTGCCTCTTAAATAACCTATTAGTGTTGATTGGGGCGTTAAATCTTTACCGTTTCATTATTTTTTTCTGTAGTGGTTCTTTGGCTTTGACAAGAACAGGGTATCCAGGTCTTGTCCTCTTTCCCTCACCTCGGGCTACTTTAAAATTCTCGTCCTCTGCTGACTCAGCGCTTTTCCTCGTAGCTTTGCAGAGTCAAAGCGTTGGTGACCGTGGTCTGATTTTCCGGATTAACCTAATTGCTTCGTCGTTATCTCTCAAGGCTGCTGTTAGTTTTGACACCACGACGACAAATCTCGACCAATGGAGAGTAAAGTTAACATGGCAGACCCACTTCTTATACACCCGATATCTTGTGATATCGGTCCCCTGCACGTTACAGAAACAGATGCCAGTTTTTTGTTAAAGCATCTTTCGTCATTTTATGGTCAAGGGTGGACCTTACTGTCTTCTTTAAAGTTGAGATTAAAGATAACAACTGGCTTGTGTGCAGTAGTGGTTAGGCGTTTCTTCGTTACACGCTGAAGACCCGAGTTCGATTCCCATTTAAGGAGACATTTTATCCAGTTCTCGGTCTTTCTGCAGGAACTTTGTCTCCCTGTCAGCCTGTGTTGGCCCTGACAGACAGGGCTGAAGCCTGACTCCTATACGGTCTGAATTGTATTGATAGGCGCATAAAAACACTTACATCTATTTGAAAAAATCACTGTCAAAGACTGTAAACGCAGTACACCAACAGTGACAAAATTTTGATCAAGTACCTTCATACTTTTTTTCTTAAAAACCTGGAGACTTAAACTCTCGCGAAAAGACCTGGCAGGGAAAGAGTATTTACCGGAAGTGGGGTATAGGCGAAATGGGGTCGTGGGAATGTCAGATGTGTAATTGAAACTTGATGCTCATTTGATGTTATATACGATTATTTGGCCCATTGCTCAGTCGCCATGCATGGGCCGTAAACGTGGTGTCATCATGACTACTGTGGTATTTGATTGCCGAGGGAAAGTGCAGTTATAGCAATATAAGTGGTGCCCAATGGTTGGCGATGTCACAGAGATTTGGTCATATCATATAAAGCTGTATCCTAGATTACGAGCACGGTCGGTTTTATTTGAGGTGTTTAAAGCTTGAACACATATGATATGAAGAAACAAGATTGTTAATTTTGATCGCCTGCTTATTATAATTTAATAGCCCAGTCGGCCTTCGGAAAGGTCTGTGCTTGAAACATCTGGGTGAAAATCTTGCGTAAATGTGGGCATTCTAGTGGATAAGTACAATGACAATGTTGCACTATAAGTATTGATCTGGAAATAACAGGACAAGCTTAGAGAGTTGTTGTAAAGTCGTGCAAGCCTTTGAGGCGGATACACTACTGAGGAAAGGTCCAGTTAAGGTCTTCTTTCGAAACGTACTTGACCTACTCCGCACATAAGAGTTTCCATTGTCTGTTGGGACCAACGAGAGAGTAGCCTTGTGTTGTCGTGTCGTGTACGATAGAGTATTTAAACATGAATGCGGCACATCAGCTGGACTTTTATCCACCACAGTACAAAGCACCAGTTTGATCGAATGATAGGAGTGGAGTGAGTGTAGGGATTCCTATTATTCTAATATACTTTTTTTGGGGGGGGGGGGGGGGAGGGTGGTCTAGGAGTTGGGGTGAGCACAACATGAGGAAACAGCATAGAGGCGATGGGTAGGGTCTGCCTAGAAATGTTTGTTGCTTGTCCACGAAATTTGCATAAGGTGCCAGTTTGACGAGAAGGCTGGAATCGGTAACACTATTGTGTTATTACAAATAAATGATCCGAGGATGGGCCATTGTAGAAAGAAGATTGAGGAGTTAGCGTTGTGTGTTTGTGTGTGTGTGTTTGTTTGTGTGTGTGTGTGTGTGTGTGTGTGTGTGTGTGTGTGTGTGTGTG